CATAGACATAGTATATCTAGACCGAGCGTTTGCCTTTATTTAAGGAGTGGGGGTAAAGATGCACGTAGAAAAGGACATACTCTGTTTCGTGCCCCTTGCGTTCTCTCTCGCTCGCACGTAGCATGACGAAAGAGAGCGCTATGCTATGTGCGAGCGAGAGAGAACGCAAGGGGCACGAAACAGAGTATGTCCTTTTCTACGTGCATCTTTACCCCCACTCCTTAAATAAAGGCAAACGCTCGGTCTAGATATACTATGTCTATGTACAAACCTCTTATTTTTATTTCAAAGTTCCGACTGACAACGTGTCGGGTTCGGACGTGTTTTTGCGTGCTGCGTATGTCCTTTGTCTGGATCTTTTTTTGGACTCTCTCCTCTCTTTAGAGGAGTTTTGCTTATATTTTACAAACTCATAAGAAACAATGGTGTATGGGCGATTAATGCCCAACCAGCCATAAAAGAAAGAAAGAAAGAAGAAGTATTTTTATTTCAATCGTAGACTTTTATGTATTATAATAGACTGCTAACCAGTGTTGTCTCGAGGATGCTTTCTCGCGCATGCGCGTTAAACGTGATCTTCAGGAACGTATCAAATTTATAAAAAAAAGAGTGCTATAGGTCGGTATAGAGTCCTATATGTATAATCAGAGAGGCGACATCGTTACCCTCTTAGAACATATATAAATGGAAGGGGAATAGCAGGCTGAAAAGTGTCGGAAGGAAGTGAGAAAGAAAATCGTAGTTGCCTCTCTCTTGTGAGTAACTACACATCAAGCATCGTGTCTGTAGATATACATACTTTTGTCACCGCACTATCAACGGAAACATAAATTCCCTAAAGCCCGTATCAGACTACCCATTGAAGATTGAAATTTGACCAATCAGGACAAAGAAATTTTAGTCCCTTTTGTTCTGATTAGTCAAATTCCAATCTTTAATCTTCAATCTTCAATTTTCAATGCGTAGTCCGTAGTCTGATGGTGCAAATGCAAACCCATGCACTCAGGGTGCAAACCCATGCAGCGGAATAGCGTAACGCGGAACGAAAGCGGAACCAATCACGAACGTTCCGCAATTTCGTTCCGTTTTCAGTAGTTTCTAGCGGAATAGGTTTCGCAGATTGCGTAATGTACATACACATTGGATATTGTGCGACGCGTCATCGCGCTGGCTGCAAGAGCCATTATGCCCGTATCAGACTACGCATTGAAAATTGAAGATTGAAGATTAAAGATTGAAATTTGACTAATCAGGACAAAAGGGACTAAAATTTCTTTGTCCTGATTGGTCAAATTTCAATCTTTAATCTTCAATCTTCAATTTTCAATGCGTAGTCTGATACGGGCTTTACACGACGAAGGCATGCGCAGGCGCAGGGTCAACGCACATGGTTTTTTTTACTTTTTGGATAAATTATGGACCACCAAACGTTGTAAATAAAGGATTTGTGACCGCCTAACGATTCTGCATCGAATAAGCCTTGATTTAATCGATTAGACTAAAAATTAAAAATGTCCGGCTAACTTTACACCAATATTTTAATTATCTAATTAAAAAAAAACGATTGACCACCAAACGTTTTAATTAGGCTATCAATCATCACCAAACGACCACCAAACGATTAGATAATTTTAATTATTAAAAAGTTGAAGTGGTCCGGCTAACTTGATGCAGCCCTTGCGTTCTCTCTCGTTCGCACATAGCATAGCGTACTCTTTCGCTATGCTACGTGCGAGTGAGAGAGAACGCAAGGGGCACGAAACAGAGTATGTCCTTTTCTACGTGCACCTCGGCTCCCACTCCTCAACACTCGGTCTAGATATACTATGTCTATGGTCTAATGTCTATTGCCAATTGCTAATATGGCGCGAGAATGTTTATGATCGAGTGCGACATAAAGGTGCATCATGTTTTATCATGTAAGTTAATTTTTGCATCTTTCTTTTGAATAATTTATTATTAATCATTTAAATTCAGAAATAAACGTGAAATATTAACTGCTATCTAATTTTTTTAAATAAATAGATCTCGCTGGAGCACGAGATTCTATTGCATCCGCGATATTTTGGTCCTCAATTACTTGATACAGTAAAGCAGAAACTCTATACGGAAGTGGAAGGCACTTGTACAGGAAAGTAAGTGACAAATTTGTATCTTAATATCGAAAATTTCGATTTTAATCGTATCTTTATTCAGATATGGCTTCGTTGTCGCAGTCACAACGATAGACAATATAGGAGCCGGAATCATACAGCCAGGACAAGGCTTTGTAGTTTATCCAGTCAAGTACAAAGCCATCGTATTTAGACCATTCAAAGGTGAAGTCCTGGATGCAATTGTAACCCAAGTGAATAAGGTATAACTAGATATTTTCTTGAAAAATGTAGACTATTCTGTACGAATATTCCTTTGCAAAGGTAATTGTTATAAACAATCTGTTTGAAATTTTGCCTGTAATATTTGCAGGTTGGAATGTTCGCCGAAATAGGTCCACTGTCGTGTTTTATATCTCATCATGTAAGTAATTAATAATTATATATCTGTATATGTGTGATATATCAAGGGTTTCATAACGGTGGGACGTATCCCTAATTAAAAAAAAATGAGATTAAGATATATATTTCTTTTTTTAAAGTGAGATGTTTAGCATTCCTAAAATGTTTTCTTATCTAAAAAATTGCATTCCTATGTATAAAACTCAAATTTTAAAACGTTTCTTCTCGTTCCTGGAAAGTTATGATTTTGGGTTTATATCTCTAGTTTGATAAAACCCTTGATATGTAATTATAATAATATATAAACTTACAATACTTGAAAAATGATAAAGTAAAAAAATTATGATACATAAGATTTTAATAATTAATAAAAAAAATTGTGCTTGCGATATAAGATTTTAAAAGCTTAAATAAATGTCTTGTAGTCAATCCCAGAGGATATGCAATTTTGTCCAAATGTGAATCCAGCTTGCTATAAATCAAAGGAAGAAGTAAGTCATATCACAAAGAATTTCATGCATATTGTAATGAAAATTTTTAAGTTTGATAATAACAAGTTTGAAATATATTTTTTAGGATGTAGTTATCCAAGCAGATGATGAAATTAGATTGAAAATAGTGGGCACAAGAGTCGATGCTACAGGAATTGTAAGTTATAATTGAAATAATAATTAATTGTTAAACTTATAATTGAAATTACTTTGTGTTGCATAAATTAAAAATATTAAATAACTTATTTTTCAGTTTGCTATTGGAACATTAATGGATGATTACTTAGGTAACAAGATGACTTACACTTTGAGTTTTAATGTGTTTAATGTATAATGTTCATTTATAGCTTATTTTTATCTTTACAGGTCTCGTATGTAATTAATATATAATTATATATATATATATATATTATACATATATATATTTTATATATTGAAGGAACATTTAATATTATCTAACAATCCAGAGTGTGAAGTAAATGAGATATCATTATATCAGCAAAATAGGGTGCTTCACTAATTTTGTTAAACTTCTTTATATGCATTCTCCAACATTTTTCAGTTATATTATATCATATAATCTATGTCTTTTTATACAGAAATACTAGGGCAAAATTATTTGAACATTGCTACTGCTAAAAACAAATATAGGTAGTTCACAATTATACAAGATATTGTTTATGATGCATTTGCAAGGAAACGAATACACCGTCATACACTCTAAGAATCCTCAATTTGTAGAAAAAGTTCTTAATACAATTCGTTGTGACAATTTGAATAAAATTACTCAATTTCAACGCTTGACAATTATTGCCAAATCATTCATTTCAATTGATGCAATTTTGAAACGGAATTCAATTCAATGAAGTTTTCGTCGCGTTATCAAACATGCTCGCGAGATTTTTGAATAGTGCTAATTTCGGTGCAATGCTCAAGTCATTCTTTTTCGCAAGTATGTCCTGATCAGGCATCACTTTATCTGCAACATGCTTGTAGACTTTCCCATTGCCATTAATATAAAATGTAGAGAAGCCATCATACCATCTACAATTATTATATATATATTTTTATTTTTCTTGGATTATTCCCATATATTAAATAAAATATTAATTATTTCTGCAGTCATTACAGAAAGTTGGAATTTAAATAATTTAATAATAATAATAATTTAAATGTTCTATTTTGCTGAAGACAAAACTAATAAAGAGATTTTAATAGAATTAAAAAAATCATATTTATCGTACTTATTTCGCTCCATTGTTCGCTACATGGATGTTTTTGTATAGTATACTTACATTTCGTGATTGGTGTCTATAGCATCTTGTATTTTCCAAAATTTATATTTCCAAAACATAGTGAACACCTTCCAGCCTGTGACACCTCGTATACGCCAACGAATCTTTACAGTACCATCATCACTATGCATTGTAATCTTTAAAACTTGAAGCTTGACATGCGCAAACTTTACATGACCAATGACTCTTAACAATATCAATTGTTTTGCATAATTTACAACTCCCCTGTAAGTACATATACATTTTATATATATTTTACAGAAATTCTTAATATAAATTTTCGACTGCTTAAAATACTTGATCAAACTGATTCTTACCTTGTCGTCACTCCTCTAATATTATTAATAAAAATTAGATCCTTAGTATATATCGTATAATTCTGAGGTTTTACAAACAAGTTTGGTAACTACAAACAATATTTCAATCAAGAAAAATCTTAATGAAAAGGGATATCTCAGAATTATTGTATTTTTCTTTCGAAAACGCGTATGGTTCTACTTTAGAAAAAAGTACAATAATTCTGGAATATTTCGTCAATTATGTAACATACATCTTGGCTAAGAGAATCGACTATGCATTGCAGTTGTTCCTGCGATGGTTTATCCTTGTTATCTTGCAATGGTGGCAGTTGGGGACTCGTCTTTAAAACACTCTTATCATCAGAAATTAATAAAATATTCCTGTCGATATTTGATTTCCAACTATTGTGTAAGTTTTCCGAAGAAATCATTATATTATGATCTAGAAACGAGTTATTCTTATCATTTCCTATAATGTTTTGTCCCTGAAACACAGTAATATTGTCCGATACGATTCCTATAGGAGTTACATATTTTCTGTTTTTTGAAAGGGCAACATTGGCTCTTTGGGATCTATTATGCAGCCTATGTGAGCTCTGGCCCCAATATGTTGTCTCGCTCTTAGTCTCGTTATCGACATATCGTCTATTCAGTTTCTTATTCCATTGATTATAAGTGTCAAGAGAAGCAAGCGATAAATTTGGATGCAATGTAAAACTCACATAAGGTATCGATGGTTTGCCTACAGTATTTGCTCTTACTGATAATGCTCTCTGTGTACTCAAAAACTGAAATTTTATATATACACAGTTAGCATCGACATAGCTTATAATAGTTATAATATAGACAGAAACAATATATGGAAATTAATGTATTTCTATCAATCATAAATAGAATAAAAAGAAAAATGACAATTATTAGGTTTAATTTGTACTATTGTTACTTTATTTATTCTCGTTATATATATTTATATTTTCGAAATTAAATTGTTTTATAAATTTAAAATTTGTAATTGTTTTATTATAAATATTTATTATTATATAGATTGACATAAAAATTGTTGATACTTTTGTTAAAGAAAAATTCAGTTCAAACATAGATTTATAATAAAACAGAGATTGATACTTTTTTTAGAGCACTATATACCACGTGTATGGTTGCCATACGTCCTCTTTTCCCCGGACACCGTCCTCTTTTTTAGGGCGTCCAGGGGGATTTTTCGAATGTGTCCGGGGTAATTATGAATGTCTGGGGTTTAAGAATATTCATAAATATTCTGCTTTTTAGATTTAATTAACCACATCATATTCAATCACTTCAATACAATTGAAGTTATCAACCATTTGTTTTTTTATTTTTATGCGTGAATCTAATAATAAAACTTCTTTTAAATTAAAAACATGTTTAATTTATTCCTTTTACTCTAAGTACTAATGAAAATGAGATCTAAAATAATTATTAATTTATTGTTATAAGTTATAAGCAACTTGCTAACCTATTCGCATTTTTGTATACGTCCGGGGTTGCAAGCGAAATGTCCGGGGTTTCTGAGCTATAAGTTCTAATTTTGAAAATTTTATTATGGCAACCCTAACCACGTGTCAACAAACAATTCAGCATATCGATGTGTATCATTTTTGCAACATGACGTTGTTTATGTGTTATTTAACCATTCGTCGATTATTACGATTTGACGAAAGCTTTCTTTTTCACAGAGCATCATCGTAAAATCGCATTAAAATAAGCATTTCGCGGCTTGATTAATTAGCCCTAAATACCATTTTAGAAGAGTGCTATTATGTAAGCGTTCAAAGATTTGAACACTCAACGTGCAACGGATAATTCGTGTTCTCGGACTTCGGGAATCTACGCAAAAATCATACGGAAGAAAACTTAAATCGATAGATTTACAACGTACCTGTTTTAGAGAGGCAGACGACTCGACGTGTTCGCGAAGCCGATGACGGTCGAGCCTTGATAAAGGTTTTCGACCGCAGACGAGCGACGACAATCTACCGGGCAACGCTCGAAAGCACAGGGACATGGTTGACGATCTGCCGATTGGCATTAGATCAACGTCGATGACATCTTCGACAGCTCGCAAACACGATTTTACAAAAGCTGCGCGCGTGCTTCTTGACATGCATTGATTTGATTGACTGCTTATGATCGTTGGAATTCCATTTTGTTCTGATAGAGAGCGCACTTTTCTATCAGTGCTTAGAGGGCGCGTTCCACTTAACGACCGTAAAGTCCCTAAAGATAGAGTCTGGCTACGATGCGTGTTCTTTTTTATTGGTCAAAACGAAGTTTGGAAAAACATGGTGGAACCAATAGAAATTGTTATGGGAAGCATAATAATCTAAAATAAATGAAATAAGAAAATTATGAACATCTTGTACCTTTTTATAAATTTTTAAATTAAAGAATAAAGAAAAATTAACTTGA